GCGGACCAAACATGATGTATGGCGGGATGCACCCCAGGTATACGGGGCACGGCGAACCACGAGTCGCATCTGCATCCCTGTCTCAGCCTGTGTACCTGAGGCTCCAAAACAATGACGCACTCTAAGAGGACCTCGCGGTCCATGTAGATGCAAGCCGACATGATAGAGTAGACGACGGACGTCGCAAGGTCTGGAGAAAGCGAGTCGTCCGAGCCCAATGAACGCTGAGAGCGAATCAAGTGGCATGCACGAAGTGCGGCGCTGAATACATGTGCTATATCGTCTCTGTTTGCCAAATTCGAAGGAGTGGACATAGTGCCGGGAGGCAGCTCCGCTAGCAGATAATGCAAATGCTCGTCTACTTCGGGGTATGACCCCTTAAATCGCATATTAATATAGATAGTACACCGAAGAGGGATCTACACATACGTCTCCGCTTATCGCAGGAATCTGGAGCAGGATATCACGCAGTTCGCGTGCTCCATCAGGCCAAGCCACGTCATTTTCCTCCGGAGAATGGTACAAGATACCGCGACATATTTCTTGAGTCAAGATGTTGCGACTAACCATGGACGATCGGACGAACCGAGGCTGGTAGTGCAAACAGAATATTGGAGTATGCGGCAAGAGAGTTACAAAGGAAAGGGGTTCCGACAACGCCTCCGCCCTTTGTGGCGCTTGATTGCATCAACCGGTAAACTGCACGGACTCGGTCGCGGGTTGGGAGAAAGCCCGACGTGCTTCAAACGGGTCCTCCAGAAACTCGCTAGCCCACTCATAATAGGTGTCGAAAGGCATGGCACGACTGGGATCATCACTTGGGCGTCGACCCTTCGGAACGCATGTCACCTTGCCCAAGAGAAAGTGAACGGCACCCCTGCAGCCTCTTGAGCACAAGAACGTAAAGCCTATGTTCATGCGTCAAGAATACAATCAGAGCAATAGCATGAAAAATTACAGGATATTCCACCAAGTTACGATAAAGTACTTCCATTAGCCTGATCAAGCTCGAAGTGGGTGAACTTCGCGTAGTACCAGTGCACACCGTATGCAAGACCCTGGCCGCCTCGTTGTCAATTTTGTACTTCACTACCAGGACGCATTAAGGCACTGTATTTACGCATGCATTCTTGCGTGCCTGATTCAGGCGACTTTGCAGTACTAGTTTGCACGGACTCGGACATGTGCGGGAACACAATTGACTCCAAATCAAAAGTCACGTGAGTCTACGGATTTTTTAGCGCCCAAGTTGGGCCGAGCCGCGGGCACGGCGCCCTCGAGTCCCCTGTTAATTTGACCACCACACGACCCGCGCGATGTCCAGCAACGGGACGCCTTCGGCCTCAAATAGTTCGACTTCGGAGGAGCCGGGAACCTTCGAGCGGTGGAGGCGACGATTTGGTGCCATGACTGGCCTCGGTGCGACGGAGCAGGAGAGGTGGTCTGAGATGCAGACATACCAAAATGAGACCTGCGAGAAGTGGAAGAGGCAGCTCATGCGGCAAAGTTCGTCCTACAGTTCTGCCTGCCCACAGCTGCTCGTTTATAGCGCTAACTATAGGTCTCTGCACGACTTGATGATTGTAGGCCCCGCGATTGTGTTCATGCTTGAGCACCTGAAGAGAAACGGATGCGACGTTGGACCGCAAAATATCGTCTGCGAGCCATGTTCGACTGTCAGGGCGGGAGGGTTCTCACCGGATGCAGGAGCTATTACAATATGCCAGGAGCGCATACTGCACAAGCAGCATATGGAGGATACCATCATGCACGAGCTTGTTCACATGTACGATCATTGCAAGTTCAAGGTCGACTGGAAAAACTTGCGGCATCACGCGTGCAGCGAGGTTCGTGATGCTAGGGCTAAGCGTTGCTTCCTATTTGTCCTCACATTGCTGTGTCCTATCATCAGATTCGTGCCAACAGTCTTAGCGGTGACTGCAAGTTTACACGTGAGTTACGACGTGGATTCCTGTCTATCTCGAAGCAACATCAGGTAGGCGCGGTTAATGTGTCGTTCACCTTGGCAGGTGATACTGACGCCTCGGACATGACAGGCTTGTGTTCGCCGACGAGCGGTGATGTCTGTCCGCGCCAACCCCGCGTGTCCAGACGATGAGACTGCGGAGCGAGCTGTGAACGAGGTCTGGGAGAGCTGCTTCAACGACACTCGGCCGTTTGACGAGGTAAGCTCACGTTGCTACCGCTCTTCTCACGAGTCCCGGGTGATACTGACACATGACTGTGATCGTGAAGATTTTCTAGACGTACAGAATGTACATAGATGCATCTAGCGTGTTCGGACTAGCATGCAGAGAATACCAAGTGCTGCCGATGTTGTGTATTTGAACATCGTTGCTGTCGTGTGCTGCATTTTACGGCTCTTGTTGGCCTAAAGCGTGGGGGGAATTGCCCGAAATTTCGCACAGCCATAGTGATGATGCGGACACACTGATGGGGCGCGCGACGAGAATAGCCCCAGAAGCTTCTGTGGTCAGCCACGTGCGGCGGGCCGAATGTACATAAGCCTCGCTTTAGTCTAAAACCCGCAAGGCTTTTTGCAAGTCCAACTTCTCCTTCGACCACTCTCCCTCCCTCCTAGCGACTGCCTTTCCCTCCCTCCTCCCTCTCCGCACCGTTCTCTACGACCAGCCACGATGTTTTTCAAGCTCAGGTATGTGTTCAGCAGCCATGCCATGGTTGCACAACTTTGGTGCTCACATGCCAGTTTTCTGCATAGCACCCTCGCCGTCCTTCTCCCCTTCGTCCACGCTCTGACGATTAATACGCCCACCAACCTCACCTCCGCCGGCACTGCGACAATCTCATGGACCACCGGTCCGAACGACCCGTCCACCTGGTCGCTGGAGCTTTCAAACCCCAACAACTTCCATAATACGTTTGCCATTGCCAACAATGTCGACCCAGCCGCGGGTTCCATCAATATCCCACTTCCCCCTGTCCCTTCTGGGTAAGTAACCCGATAGCCATAACGCTTCTGACGACTGATTTGTTGTATGTTCAGCGATGGTTACATTATTGAGGCCGTCAACATCACGAATATCAACGACGTGTTCGCCATGTCGGGTGACTTCTCCATCGCTCCTGCTGTCTCTTCTACTTCGTCGAGCGCGTCTTCCACCACATCTGGTTTGTCTTCCACCTCTGGTTCCTCTGCGGCCTCTGTCACGTAAGCCTCATTTGTGACTACCGATAACTCGCCTTTCTGACCCGCCAATGCAGCTCGGGTAGTTCCGGCGCTAGCGCAAGCACCTCGTCGTTCGGTACCACTGTCTCGGGCTCCTCTACGCCAGCTTCATCGGGCACTGGCACTTCCAGCACTACTGGAAGCAGCCCGAGCCCAAGCTCATTCAACGGCAACGGCGCTGCGTCGATGGGCGTCGGCTCCTGGTTCGCCATGGCTGCTGCTGCGATCGCCGGCGGTCTCGTCGCCGTCTAGGCAACGCCGGACGATCTTTCAGCAACGTTGGCAGGAGAGATGATCTGGACGAACGCTTGCATTTCAGGTTTTATTTCCTTTCCCCACGCCTTTACGGACTATCGTTACCCAGACTTTCTTTATAGTACTCATGGACTTCAGCATGCACGCACTTGGACTGTACCCTTCCACGTCTATAATCTACATTCGTGACTTTGTGAATACATTGGGGACCCTTGATATACATATAATATGAACTGAAGCGTGTGTGGTCTATGTCGCTATGTTTCCGTTAGGATCGATGGTCTCCCGATCGAAACAGGTGTCGCCTAAACCACGGTGACTTCTTGCCGTCCAAACGCGCTAGGCTTGTTCAAGGACCGCCTCATCCGATCTGCTGCCGTCGGCTCGGGGCTGGGTGAGACTAGAGGAAACATGGGCCTCGCTATCATTAGGCACGGCGTCCGATCCTGGAGTCTGCAGTAGGGGCTGGCGGTCTCCAGTCCAGAACCTGCAGGCGGCGAGAACATCCTAAAGTCATATGAGTCCGTGATTAGCCTGAAACAGTCACAGAAGGCGTACTGAGGAGGATGCAAAGATCAGGAACGTAGTCAGAGGCACTTTAAACGTCTCGGTCAATGCTATGCTAGAAATTCTCAAATGAAAGCGCAACGCAGCGTACTGGCAGCTTCGTAGACAATGGGGATGACGTGCGTCGCGGAGCTCGTGAGATAAAAGCCCAGCGCGAATAACCTGTTCAAGAGCCCGATGTTGAGTATGGCCAATTCTGCAGGGGTGGACGGAAACTTGATGTGCAACTCACACGAAGAGGAAGAGTTGGCAGACAGTGAACGCTAAGACTCTGAGGCATAGGCCTTTGCCGAAAACACGACACGGTTTAAGGTGTGGGACGTTCCGCCAGATGCGTCGGCACTGAACGATGGTGTAAATTTGCAGCGATACTGTGAAGAAGACGATGCAACAAGAGAAAATTTCGAGCCCGCGGCCGCTAGGTCGCAAGTTCCAATTATTCCCATAGAAACGATACAGATAATGCGGGACCTACTATGACTTATGCAGCAGTGTACAATAGTAGTCGTCGGGCAAGTGCTTAACTGCCTCCGGGTATGCGGCTCCAAGCTAAGAACTACATGAACCTCATGTAATTGGAAACATGCGTACGCCAACTTACGCTTGCGGTTGTGAGCGCGAATATGACAAAGATCGCGTATGGCAGGGCAACCAGCTGTGAAGATCGTTGATATGTTTTGTAACGAGACAGCCCAATTGAGATGCGTACCAGACGGACCCTAATTTTGCGACGGAGACAACAGGCAAGAAACTCTGTCTCGCACAAGACCTCTAATAGCAGCGCCAGGGAGGCAACGCTGTACATGGGGTCCGAGCCGTGTTTGAGAATCGCTTGAGCCAAGCATAGACCGAAAGGCGGATTAGGGTTGAGGATCTCTTCTCCATAGTACCTAAAATACTCGCTTTCAGCTCTTAAAAAGACATGCACTAGGTGATCTGAACGCACAACAAGGGTTGCGGGACGGTGCTCAGGATGCTGACGAGTAATAAGTTTCGCATGGCAGCGTTCCGTTTTCTGACCTGCTTGGAGATACAGATGATCCCCAGCAAAGCGGTAAGGAGGGCCTGCCCCACAGTAAGGAGTACGAACAAGACGTTCAGCAGCGCAACAGGGTCCCGCCCCAGCATCGGGTACATGCCGTCTGAGGCATCCGGTGCCTTGTGGTGTTCGTCATGTCCCGAATGCTCTAGCGACATCTTGTACCTGCAACCGAGACCTGCAGCCGGGCGGGTCTAGGCAAAGCCGCGAGCGAGCCGCTGTTGTGCCGTCGATGCAGACTGCCAGAGGATGGCCCTAGGGTTCTAGAACAGCGGCGCAGGATATCGGTGAGGGCACGAGGGAATATTCCGATTACCGGCCTTAAATTATAATCTAAAAGCGCAGGTCTGGCATGAGAACGCTCATCAGCATCGGAACACAGCCTGACGCCACCTTTGACAGTATCCGTGTTGGTTACTGCGTTGAAGCTGAGCACGGCTGACTGATATGAACTGGAGATACTTACCCGGAAATTGCATATGGGCTAAGCTCCATGCTACGGTTTGGTACAGCCAGGATGAGCTCTGCAATCAAATGAGATCTCTTGTACTCCAACCATCTGTTGGACACATAACTCATTGAGTTATGCCATAACCGGAATTTCAACCTGGCTATGCACATCCACTGCACGACGTCGTCAGTGATCAGTGATCGTAGATTTTGGTGTTAGCACTTACAGCTCCCTCGAAAGCCAGTTGTTTAAACGTGTTGAACGTCGAAAGTAGGGTCCACAATCCATTCCACACTGGTTTACGACGAGTCGTGTATGAAAAGGCAATGATCTCGCTGCGCGGCGTTCAGAGCTCGACAGTCAAGAAGCCACAAAGGCCTTATGAGCGCTTCTTGAGTGATGAGAACAGCGTGAGAACGTCTTGCCTGATACGGCGCTGAGCTGGAGATGGGCGAAGGAAACGATTCCGGAGAAGTTGTTGCAAGGCCCTACGGTTGCCAAAGCCTCTCGTCCTCCCTTTCTTCACCTTTCTCCTCTCTACGACTCGTCTGAGTCGTGTTCGCTTTCTCCAGGCTTCCACTGTGTGGTCCATCTTTCTTGCATCACATCACGAGCTAGTTATACGCGTGTCAGGCGTACACGGGAGACTTTGCAGCTTGAGGTATCGTGTTATTCGCGCTTTGCGCGAGAACGTGCAACTTCAACTCACCTCTCCTCGTCCTAGGAGCAGAGGTTAATCTATGCGAAGCAGTTCCACTCACTAACGACCGCCGCTCTCTACGATCATCATGCCCAAGACTAATCGCTCGGATAGTTCCTCTGCTCTCTCACCCTCCTCTACTGGTCCCCAGCCATCATGGCCCGCTCCAAAAGCTCCGTTGTCTCCCCACCGGCTGGCGAAACTTGCTAACGCCCTCGGTGTGGCGACTCCAGTACCTGCATCAGGCACCCTTGTCCCTTCTCTTGCCTCCAACATTAGTAGCTCGGGTCTGACTCTGGCGTCACCCCTCTTTCCTCACGATGCACGAGGCAGGTCTCCAACACCGTCAGTAGCATCCTCACATCTACCGGCGGCTCCTTCCACGTCAAGATACCTTCTGCATGTCATACCGCCCCGCCATCTGCCGCATGACACAGATACTCTTGCCCCCATCCCACTTACTGCCTCAGGATATCATACTCAGTTCCGAAGAGGAGTCCTCGTCCCCGTTTATTCCACGTTGCAGTCGCAGTTGACCGCGATTGCTCGGGAATACGCTCTGCCGAGTACAGTCGGTATGGTTCTGTATCTCATCACGACCATGAACGCCGCACACAATGAAGAGCCGGGGCCAAGAATATCTGAGGACATCTGGAAACACATCTGGGCGAGGGTGGTTAGGGCCGAGAAAGACGAGATTCCTGCGCCAGGTCCCAAACCTTTCGGTCTGGGACTTGGGTACGGCGTAGCCGGCAGGTCATCACCTGCACTTCTTCAGGACGTGACTAGCAATCCATCGCAACAACCGCAGAACTTGCGTGCTTTTGTCTCATCCCAGCTCCCTGAGATCTCTCCGCTGACACCGTCGCCGTCGACTCCGTCCCAGTCTCCGTCGCCAAGCGATGTGGACACTCCGGATTCTGCTTCGTCTGTAGCCCCCTCCACAGATGCAAGCTCTCTTCCCCTTCCAGGTCTCGAATCACCAGCGCTGGTGCCAGTGCTTGCGAAGGTCGAGTTTGACATTGACAGGAGGAATGCCGAGTGGTACAAGGCTTGGGTACGAAGTAGGAGAATCACCCATGCGAAGAGAGCGGAGAGTCGGGTGAGCGGAAGGAGTCGATCTCTGAGCGAGAACGGCGAGGGTGGTGAGGAGGGTGAGGAAGGGACCAAGAAGGCACCGATAGACTTGCGTTTGGTGGACAGGATGAACAAGCGGGCAAACCGCCCAGCTTTCTTGGTGACGGAGGAAAAAGACGAAGGGTACGAGCTGCTGGAAGATGAAGGCAATGACGACTTGACCGCTCGTCTGGATGCCATGGGGGCAGATGGCGACCCCCTGGATGATGTCTTCGGCACCGACGCGGAAACTTGGGCAGAGATGCGCGCGGAGCCTGAAGCAAGGCAGAACAACAATCCTAACGTCGTTGACCTTGCTCTAGATGCAGCCGCTGTCTCTAACCTTCCTGATGACCTTGAGGAGGGCGACGAATCGTGCATGTCGGTGCCTGACGATGAAGCCGATGTATCCGAGCTGCTCAACCGGATGCCGAAGCCTCCTCTGACGGTGGCTATTCCGTCAGAGGAAGAGGCGGCAGTTCTTGCCAAGCGGCGGTCCGAGCCTGCGACTGCCGGTACCGTTAAGAAGCACGTTCCCCCTCCTTTACATCTCATGCTACAGAACCACGGCGAGCTCGGCGTCCCTGAGCAGAGTCCACAGCCATCGAGTGCGAGCAGCGCTCGGCTTGCATACTTGGCAAGCCCATCGTCAGATGTTGCGGCCCAGCAATCGGAACCAGAGACCAACCCTCATATATCAAGCCATTCGCTCTTTCCTGACGAGGACGAGGACGAGGACGAGGACGAGCTCGACGAGGAACTGCTGAAGAATGTCAACATCAGGAGTCCTGAGGATGAAAAGCGCGACGGTGCTGTCTTTGGCGATTTGGACCTTGGGTTGGATCCATCAATCACAGATGACGGTGATGTAAGTCCTGTCCTCGTCGCTTCCTTACCCTGTACTAATGATAAACCGCTACAGTACGACGATTCCGACCCTTACGACAGAAGGAAGAGTCAGTATATCATGGCTGCTCAGTTGGATGAAATTGAGAAGGTCGGTGTGGTCGATAAGTTCAACATCCTAGTTCGTATATTAATACACTACAACTAGAATCTTGCCCAGTTCTCTCCTCGTCCACACCTTCAGTCAATTGACATGAAAACTGAGGATATCCCTGTTCACCGCCGTGACCAATCCAATGCCTCGATGCGTTCACCATCTCTGACTCTATCGCCTCGCAAGGGTGACGTCTCTCCGCCTCTCAAGTTAGTCCCCTCTAGCTCGTCTAGTCGTGCGTCCTGACGATCCTTTGAAAGGAGTCCTGGTGCAACTGAAGCAGCATGGCCTGCGGTCCCATATTCTGCGCTCAGTAACAAAGACGAAGACAGGCTGCCATCCCCACCTACATTCGCATTTAATGGTATCACCACTGAACCTCCCAAACAATTCCAAAGACGGTCTACCAGATCCGATGCCCCTTCGAACGAGACGGTTGCGCGACAGCGTGCACTAGCAGAGGACAGTGGCTTGTATCCACCACTTACCGCGCCCAATATGTTCGGCTCTGCGCGCAGTCTCGATTCGCCCGTTATACCGCTCTCCCCTGACCCGTTTGGACGGTACCCTTCGGAGGCTGAGGCAAGTCGCATCGAGTCGGAACGGAATTCGCAATCCTATAGTGATGATGGTTCTACCACTCATGTTGCCAGCTTTCCTGATAGGACCTCATCCCTGGCGACTCCTAGCCCCGTTCTCAACGACTCACGACCCCAATCTCGGACGCCATCTAGCCGCTTCTCCATGGAATCTGATGAAATTGCTGAGGTAGTCAATGCACGAGCGAATAGTAAGCCATCGTCGTCCTCGCTGATGAGCGTCAAGAACATCAGAAAGCTGTGGAGGAAGAGCGATGTAAAGCGAGAATCTGTCAGCACACAAGCGAAGCCTGAATCTCGCCCAGTATCGCCCAACATGCCTCCGCCAGCCCCTCCAGTTCCCCAGCCTCAGTTTCAACCTCAGCCAACCGGTCGGTCAAGAGCAAAGTCGATATCTAAGTCATCGATCCCCGCGTCTGAATATCCACCCTTTGTCCCTGCGAGCATACCTCCACGAGAGACTATGCGTGCCCTTTGCTTCGATCAGGAGTCGCCATATCCTGTTCATCCGGTTAGACCTGTTCGCTCACCGTCACCGCCCCGTCCTGTGCCCCAACAAGCGCCCCCTACTCCAGGTTTGCAGAGGAACAGTGTCCGGAAGTCTATCCTCAAGTCCCTGAGGGGTGGCAGTCTTTCGGCAGGCTCGGCCAAGAGCTCGATCTCCTCGACGACCTCACGTTCCAGCACCGAACAGCAGCAGGCCGAGCCGACGCGCAAACGGAAACCAAGCATACTCTACGTGTCTGTAGGTGCCATGCGCTCCTCGCCCTCGCTTGGTTCCGCTGCGTCCTTTGGCGACATCCCACCGAGCCCGATGCTGCCAGAACAGTATGTGCAGCACAACCGCTCGGCGAGCCGGCATTCGCAGGGCCGCAGACCTAGTATGTCCTCGAATGCCTCTGCCTCGTCACCACCCCGTGTTCGGTCCCCACTGCTGGCGTCCTCCTCTCCTCCCCGGAACGGGCTCGCGGCTGTAGGCCGCCAGTCGCATGCATCCGATTCTTCGTTCGGGAGCCGGCCGAGCGTCGACGTGTCCCAGTTCGAGATCGTCTCTCCCCCGAACGGTTCGCTGTCGTATCCCTATAACGGCTTGGATCTGTCTGTCTTGGCTTCCCGGGAATGAGTTGCTTCTACTTCTTTAACGCACATTGCTTTCATATCTTACCCTTTGAATAGCTTTACTGACTTTGTTACAAACTGTCTCTCCACTGTACCATCGTTCTGCTCGCTTTATGGCTAGTCCAAGCTTTCCTTTCTGCTTTCGCTTGGAACATGCTGTATTTATTATCTAATACTGTCGCTACTTTGTCGCAGAAAGCTATTCTGTTTGGGTCGATATTTGGGGGCCGTTCCCGGCTTCTGCTTCATCTGCCGTTCGTCTTCCACGGACACGCATGCATCCAACCACCTGTGGTACATTACACTCCTAGCATCCCTCTTGGGCATATATAGTACATCCTCTACCTCTACGGCATAACAAAATGCAACCAATACGACTAGGAATACGCAGCCTTCCTTTTCGTAACACTACTGTTGCCTGCGAAGAGCTCCAGCTAGAACTGATGCTCGGTGGAGTCCTTGCCAACCGCAGATGTGCTCGAGGAACCAGCAGATAGGGTGTTAAGAATGCGGTCGACGTAGTTAGCCCCGCTCCTGCACAGTATAGTGAGCATTGATGCAGTAGACGACAGGCGCCAGGGGGGAGGGGTCTACGTACCATTTCTGGTGCGTCAGAACATCGCAGCCCAGAGCCTTCTCTTTCTTTTGTACGAGGTCGACGTACGCAAGCATCCCATCATTCTTGAAGCGAGAAGCAAGCTCACAAGTCGCCGCCGCATTCAGATGCAAGCCAGCAAGGGAGACTAGCTGGAGGACGAATCTGCAAGACCTCAGCCGAACGTCATCTTCGCAAAGGAGAGAAACGCCACTCACCCTTCTTTCGCCAGGTCCCAGATATAGCTCTTCAGGCCCTCGTCCGAGAACCCCTGCCCAGCCCAGTTGAAGCTCGGGCTGAGGTTGTAGACGAGCCACTTCCCGGGGTAGCGCTCCCGGATCTTGCGTGCAAAGTAGCGCGCCTGCTGCAGGTCGGGCAGCTTCGTCTCCAGCCAGATCATATCCGCGTACGGCGCGAAGCTGAGCGACCGTTTAATTGCGGCCTCGACGCCACCGGTGTAATGGTAGTAGCCCTCGCGCGTCTTCGGAGCTGTGATGAGGGGTTATTAGTAAGGTGAGCTGAAATCGAGAAGAAGGGGCGGCTCACAGTCCCAATCCCAGCGGATGCGCTCTCCGAGGATATCGGCCGCGATGTCCCGAGCTTCGGTATTTGACTTGCCGCCAACAGCTTCGAGGTAATGCTTGAGGGCAGAATCCTTGGCCGCGGCGCTTATCTTCGAAGAGTTAGCAATAGCATGTTCCACAGCTATTCTACAGAGTTAGCGTTCGTCTCAGAATCAGAGAGTGCACTTTCGTACGAACCTTGGTTGTAAGTGCAGAGAGGATGCTCCGCGAGCCATTCCTCCTCGATCTTATCAACTTCTGCACCGGTCGCACCGCGAGCTTCAGCCTCTTGAATGACTTCTGCAAGGCCTTTGCCAGGAGCTATCGTTCCTCTAGAACGGGATTAGTTGCAATACACAAACAATACAGCTCGACGTACTTGATGAACTCGTGGTCCAGGATGTCCACCGTGCTGGAAATGAGCTTTCCCGACTCAGCATCCGTCCGCGCAATCAATAGCATGCTATTGTACATCATGTCCAGTTGGAAACGTGCTGCAATGAGCCTGGACGCGTGCGTGGACGCAGGGACGAGAACCTTGCCTGCAAGGTGTCCGCACTTCTTGCCGCCTACAAGCTGGTCTTCGAGGTGAATACCGGCCGCTCCCTGCAACCGTGCTGTGAGCCCAGGGTTTCCCAGAGTCTCAGTCAACGCGTACCGACTCGGCGAACAGCTTCGTGAGCTTCATAACCGTAGAGGAACCACCATGCCTACGTCTTTCGTAAGTATAGCTCCAGTCTTAGAGCGTGTGAACCGACCCCATGTCCGCATCAGCAATAATAGGCCGAAGGTAATCCACATAAGGAGTCTTCGCGCGAGCTTCCGGTGATAAGGACCAACGCTCGTCATAGTGCTTCTTGTCATGGAGTAGTTGGGCTCTGTGAACGCGCTGGACTTGGTTGGGAACAGTCGTGTATGGGTAGTCTCTGACGCGTAAGATTAACAGGAT